ATTAAATTGGCTTGGTGGCTCACGAGCCAGCTTGGAAGAGCTTGAGCCAGTTATCAGGCTCAGCTCAAAAAGCTCGAGCCTGTAACAGACTTGGCTCAAAAAGATCGAGCCTGTAACAGACTTGGCTCAAAAAGCTCGAGCCTGTAACAGACTTGGCTCAAAAAGCTCGAGCCTGTAACAGACTTGGCTCAAAAAGCTCAAGCTGGCTCATGAGCCAAACGAGCTATTATACAAAAAACGTTGCAAAACGTTTTTATATAATAATGCATGCATAAACGAAACGTTTTCGCAACTTTTTTCCATTGTTTATTAAAGAATGTTGCGAAAACGTTTATTTAAGTTTTTACATGTAAAATTAAAAAAAAAATGCCAGAACTAATGATTCCGGCATTTTTACATGTAAAATTGAAAAAAAACGCTGGAACTAATGATTCCGGCGTTTTTACATGTAAAATTGAAAAAAAATGCCGGAACTAATGATTCCGGCATTTTTACATGTAAAATTGAAAAAAAAATGCCAGAACTAATAGTTTTGGCATTTTTACATGTAAAATCAAAAAAAACGCCAGAACTAATGATTCCGGCATTTTTACATGTAAAATTGAAAAAAAACGCTGAAACTAATGGTTTCGGCGTTTTTACATGTAAAATCAAAAAGAAAAACGCCGGAACTAATTATTCTGGCATTTTTACATGTACAATCGAAAAAAAACGCCGAAACTATCTGTTTCGGCGTTTTTACATGTAAAATTAAAAGAAATACGCCAAAACTATCAGTTTCGGCGTTTTTACATGTAAAACTAAAAAGAAATATGCTGGAACCAATTATTTCAGAGCTTTACATGTAAAATCGAAAAAAAATGCCGAAACTATCAGTTTCGGCATTTTTACATGTAAAACCAAAAGGAAATACGCTGGAACCAATTATTCCGGCGCTTTTACATGTAAAATCAAAAAAAAATGCTGAAACTATCAGTTTCGGCGTTTTTACATTTAAAATCAAAAGAAAAATGCTGAAACTATCAGTTTCAGCGTTTTTACATGTAAAACCAAAAGGAAATACGCCAGAACCAATTATTCCAGCGCTTTTACATGTAAAATTGAAAAAAACTGCCGAAACAATCAGTTTCAGCGTTTTTACATGTAAAATCAAAAGGAAAAACACTGAAATAAATAGTTTCAGCGTTTTATATAAATATAAAAGTAAAAAACGTTTTGCAATGTTTTTTTAATAATTTAAAGTAAAAACGTTGCGAAAATGTTTTTATGATAAAGCTCGAGCCAGCTCGAGCCCAGCTTGGCTCAAGCCAGGATTTTCATGGCTCAGCTTTGCTCGAACTGAGTTGAGCCAAAATTTTTTGTGGCTCAGCTCATTTCAGGCTTGGCTTGGTGCAAATCTTCAAGCCAAGCCAAGCCAGACTGTAGCTCGGCTCGAGCCGGCTCATGTAGAGCACTACACTTTTGTAAAGAGAATTATCGAAATATTAAAGTTGTAATAAATAAAATATTTCATAGCGAGAGCTATCGAAGTTTGGAAATTAAAGGTAAAGTGAGTAAAAATTGAGGAAAATTTAGAGAAGTTAAATTTAATTTTATATCGCTCGATGTTTTATATTACTAATGCTATTTATGTTGTAAACCAAGAATGTTGTCATTGTATGTTGTCGTTATATGTTGTTGTATGTTGTTCGTTGATTATGTTGTTTGTTAATTATACCGTTGATTATTTGCTTGTTCATTTGTTTAATTGTTCATTCATTCGTTTATTCGTTTGTTCGACCATGAGAATGCCTATTTGATGTGGCAACTCTGTAAATTGATGACAGAGGGAATAGGGGGATTTCATATGGTGCATGCTCACAAGAAAGGAAATGATCATCATCACATGATTATTATTATAATGAATATGAAAATTTAATTTTGTTAGTAAGTCACTGATAGGTATTATTAATCAATATTTTATTTGAGAATTTATTTTTAGATTTTAGGTTTTAACGAGTTCAAAAGGAACCAATAAATCAATAAGGATTTAATTGAGTCAAAAACTTGAAAAGGTAAAAGATTGAAGTTTGAAGTTGTGCAAATAATCATTTAATCGATAGAAAGCACAAGAACATTTCTTTTGGAAATAAAGTACCTGAGAAATTTTATAAGGAGATGTGAAAATGAAAGATGAATTTTGAAATAAAGATTAATAATGGGAGAATACCAATGTATTATCTGGGGTTCATCTGTGTCGTATGGGTTACGTCTGAGTTTGAATTTTGGATAAATGCTCGAAATTGGAAAATTTTTATTCTTCGATATTAAGGATTATAACGTATGGGTTATGTCAAATCTGGATACCCAGCTCAATAATGCGCAAATTGCTTTGGGGACAGGGAATAAAGATTGTAAAGACACCTATTATCAAGAAATATTGAAAGAATAAAATAGGACAAACCTGAAAACTGTCATGCTTTTATTTCAATGTGAGGTATCTCCAACGGGTAAAAGATAGAGATAAGCTCAGTATAGGTTCACCTAGAGCTCCGAATGGGTCAGGTCAAGTCAGGTAATTGACTTGACCCGACCCAAGGCAAGTCATGAATTTGGTGACCCGACCCGAATATCACGGGTCAGTTCAGATACCCGACCTGACCCATTGACCCGATATATTTTGGGTCAAAAAAACGTTTCAGCACTTTTTATTACGCCAAAACGTCTTTTTTTTTGTTTCTTCTAATGAAAAATGTCAGACCTGACGTTTTTAAATTAAAGAAATAATTTTTTTTTGTTTCTTTTAATAAAAAATGTCAGGTTCGAGGTTTTTTAATTAAAGAAACATTTTCTTTTTGTTTCTTTTGTTTCTTTTAATAAAACATGTCAGGTTCGACGTTTTTTAATTAAAGAAACTTTTTTTTGTTTCTTTTAATGAAAAAATGTCAAACCCAATGTTTTTTAATTAAAGAAACATTTTTTTTGTTTCTTTTAATGAAAAAACGTCAAACCCGACGTTTTTTAATTAAAGAAACATTTTTTTTATTTCTTTTAATGAAAAAACGTCAAACCCGACGTTTTTTAATTAAAGAAACATTTTTTTTGTTTCTTTTAATGAAAAAACATCAAACCCGACGTTTTTAATTTAAGAAACATTTTTTTTGTTTCTTTTAATGAAAAAACATCAAACCTGACATTTTTTAATTAAAGAAATGATTTTTTTTTGTTTCTTTTAATAAAAAATGTCAGGTAAGATGTTTTTTAATTAAAGAAACAATTTTTTTTGTTTCTTTTAATAAAAAACGTCAGGTTCGACGTTTTTTAATAAAGAAACATTTTTTTTTTGTTTCTTTAATTGAACCTGATGTTTTTAATAAAAAAAGACGTTTTTGTAATTATTTTTAATGAAAAAACGTCAGATTCAGGTCAGTTTGGCATTTTTTTATATATATAAAATGCTGAAACGTCTTATTTTTGACTGAAATATGT